ATACATATACACGCATATGTGTTTACCGTGTCATGATATAAAATGTATTTCCTACTGTAGGTTGTACAAACGGCTATAGTACTCATCCCAGTTTGCTTCTTATTAGAGCCACCAGTATAGCCTTCTGCTTCCTCATTATCACAAACTTTTGCAGAATAAGTAAAGCCATGTATACTCTCCTCTTCCTGTGCTCAATAAACACTTATTGAGTCGAATTGAATTGCATGATCACAATCACCCTTCTTCTGAATTTGACTTTTCCAGATCAAGTGTCCTCCTACAGGGTCTGGGTTTGGAGTTCTGTTGAGAGTCAGGAGACTTGGGGCATTGCTGGGGGAAAGAGCAAAGGGTGGCTCATCTGCTAAAGGAGCCCTAGTGTGGTGCTATGGATGAATGTGCTGGACTACAAGGTCGGTGGTTCAAGCTCACCAGCTGCTCCTTGGAAACCTTGTACAGGGTCACTATGAATTGGAACCGAATTCGATGGCACTTAACAACATCTGTGAAAGCAACAATTTTCCTTGAAGTAATGTATTTCCACTGGAAAGTCTGGTGTGTGGTCTGAGGAATGGAGTAGGTGGCACTATGGATCAAGATGGCCCAGTGGAAGGATACCATAGAGGGGCAAGGATAGGGAATGGCAGCTCATGTAAGCCTCCGAGGCATGAACATGAACTGCACATCTATTGTTCATTGAACAAGTCAGTATGCTGGGCTCTTAAGAGCCAAAGAAGTCTTTGACTTGGGTGACAGATTGAGCCACAGATGTTTTCTGATGCCCCCACACTGTTTCAAAGGCAACATAACCACTCTCGGCTGTATGACCTACATTCAGAGTACCTCACATATGCATACTAACTGCTCACATCCTTTGGCTGTGAATGTGAGACTGCTTATCTATAACAACTTGAGCCCTGGTTAAAGTACTCAGCTGCTAATTGAATGGTTGATAGTTTGAAATCAGCTCTGCAGGAGAAACATGTGGCAGTCTGCTTCCATAAAAATTTACAGCGTTGGAAACATAAGGGGTGGTTTTACTCTGTTCTGTGCTGTTGTTGTTAAATGCGTCGAGTCGGTTCTGACTCTGTTCCATAGAGTTGCTATAAGGTCACAATCCACTCCACGGCAGTGGCTTTATGAAATCTATAGCAAATTTCCCTGCTTTTGTGGAAGAGGAGTAGGGCACAAACTTTCAGAAACAATTCCCAGGTCCCTGGAAAGGATCCTTGGGTGGTGAAAATGGTTACATACTCAACTGCTGGTAGTGGTGGTGGTGAGCCACTGAGTCAGTTATGACTCATAGCGACCCTGTATAGGGTTTCCAAGGCTGTATATCTTTATGGGAGCAGAAAGCCTCATCTTTCTCCCACTGAACGACTGGTAGATTTGAACTATTGACTTTGCAGTTATCAACCCAGCTTGTACTCCATTACGTTACCAGGGCTCCTTAAGTATTCAACAACTAACTAAAAAATTGACTGCTCAAGCGCACCCAGAGGTGCTTTGGAAGAAAAGCTTGGAGCTCTTCTTCCAGAATGTTACAGCCTTGTAAACTCTGTGATTTATGGATTACCATGAGTTGGAATGTACTTGACAGCAACTGGTTTGGTTTGGGTTTTGTATTTGTGTGTGTTGGATGCACAGCAAGCTAGTAGAACAGTAAGTCCCGAGGAGAGGAGAGGGATGTTGGACAGACCAGTCATCTGGATGCTGCCAGTGAGGAGCTTGGGTGAGTGGGGAATAAGGAGAGGGCATTCTTTTGGAGCAGGGAGGATACTAGGGACCCACTGTAGCAGCAGGTCTGTGACAGTGATCAAGAGCCAGATGTCAATAATCCTGAGGCGGACTGGAGTTTGAAGGACCAAGGGAAGGGAGATCAAAAGAGTTTGGGTTTTGACAGTTTACAAAGAACTTCCATTTGTCCTTGGCCTTAAAATAAGACTGGAAAACAATTGGAGTACTATTACTCTTTTTAAAAGCAAACATGACACCCTATTAAACTGGCTGAAATCTAAATAAAAAACAAAACTGGCAATATTAAAGGCTGGTGGGAATGCAAAATGGTTCAACTGGCTTTAAAAGACAGTTTGACAGTTTCTTACAAAACTAAACATATTCTTACCGTGCAGTTCAGCAACTAATTGCAGTCCTAATTATGCATCCCTCCTCATTACAACTATTGAGTTGTAAATGTATGTCCATACAAAAAACCTGCATGGAAATATTTATAGCAGCTTCATTCATAATCATCACAAATTGGAAGCAACCCAAGATATCTAGACAGACAAACTGGGGTAAATTCATACAATGGAGTATTAATGGTTAAAAGAAATGAACTATCCAGCTAGAAAAATACCAGTAAGAACCTTAAATGCATATTGCTAAGTGAAAGGAGCCGCTCTAAGAGAGCTACATACGGTGTGCTTCTAACTCTGTGACATTCTGGAAGAGAAAACTATAGAGAGGGCAAGAAGAGCAGTGATTACTAAAGGTTCAGGTGGTAGGGAGTGATGAAAAGGTGGAACACAGTAGATTTTAAGGGGCAGTAAAAATATTCAAAAAACTTATTGCATTAGGCAAATCTGTTGCACAAGAACTTTTTAAAGTGTTGAAGAGCAAAGATGTCAGCTTGGGGACTAAGGTGCTCCTGACCCAAGCCATGGTATTTTCAATAACCTCATGTGCATGCGAAAGCTGGACAGTGAATAAGGAAGACTGTAGGAGAATTGATGCTTTTGAGCTATGGTGTTGGAGAAGAATTTTGAAAGTGCCGTGGGCTGCCAAAAGAACCAACAGATCTGTGTTGGAAGAAGTGCAGCCAGAGTGCTCCTTGGTGGCCAGGATGGCCAAACTTCGTCTCTCCTGCTTCAGACATATTGTCAGGAGGGACCAGTCACTGGAGAAGGATATCATGTTTGGTAAAGTGGAGGGTTAGCGAAAAAGAGGAAGACCCCCAGCGAGATGGATTGGCCAAGTGGCAGCATCAATGGGCTCAAGTGTGGCAACAGTAGTGAGGTTGGCGCAGGATCGGCCAGTGTTTCATTCTGTTGTGCATAAGGTTGCTATGAGTCGGTTCCGACTTGATGGCACCTACTAACAACAACCAAAATATTCTATATGATATTATAATGGTGGATATATGACATTATGTATTTGTCAAAGCCCATAAAACTCTACTAAGCAAAGAATGAACTTTAGTGTAAACTATGGACTATAGTTAATAATAATGTGTCAATATTTGTATATTAATTATAAGAAATGTATCATACAAACGCAAGATGTTAATAATAGGTGAAAGGGGAGACCTAGGAAATATATAGAACTCTATGTTGTTGTTGTTGTTGTTATGTGCCGTGGAGTCGGAACCGACTCATAGCGACCCTGTACAGGGTTTCCGAGGGTGTAAATCCTTACGGGAGTAGAAAGCCTCATCTTTCTCCCGCGGAGCAGCTGGTAGTTTCGAACTGCTGACCTTGCGGTTCACAGCCCGAGTCGTAACCACTACGCTACCAGAGCTCTATACTATCTGCTAAATTCTATAAATGTAAAACTAAACTAAAAAAAATGAAGTCTATTCACCATATTTTTAAAAATCAAAGAGATTATATATGATTGTGGCAAGAGGTTTTTTTTAGTTTTTTAACTTTTAAGACAGCCAGCAAGAGTATACTGGATCTTTGCTTATAAACTACACAGACCCCCTCCTTGTTGCCCAAACCTTTGTTTACTTATGAATTCCCTCACCTGTAAAATCCATGCCCTATTTCCTCATTACTACAAGCTCAGGCCTTAATGGGAACTGTACAATGAATCCCCTTGGACATAAAATAGAGGCCACACTATCCAACTCCTTCTTAGTTCACTGGTACATTTGGAAAGACAGCATCACATTTCTTCCCTAGGTAAAAAAAACAGTTTTTCTCTGACAGAATATTTCTTTACTGACTGTAATGATGATGGTTTTCTGCTCTGATTGTTAATTCTCCTAAATTATGTGCAAAGTCTTTACAATTTGTTTTGGAAGGTTTTTCTCTTCTGAGTAAGTAGATGAGGCAATCAACTCACCTTTCATATTATAAGGAGGCCCCTCCTCCACATTAGAGCTTCTGTGAGTGATGATGGGGTGAGTTCATATCCAGTAGCTCTAATGGTTCTTTTTTATGTTTTTCAATAATTACCTATTTTTAAAAAAATTACTTATTTTTATTGCCGGTAACTGCCATCTAATCAGTTCTGACTCTTAGCAACCTTGTATAGGGTTTCCGAGGAGTGGCTGGTGGGTTTGAACTGCTGTTCTTGCAGCTTTCAGTCCAGTGCTTATCTTACATACAGTTGCCGCACCATGACCCTTGAATTCTTATAGGCTGCTGCTTCCTCTCTTTGATGCCTCCTGTCATCCCATGGATCCTGTTGCAAACAGCTGCAAGCATAGGGCAACATCCTTCAGAGATTTGGAAACAGGAGCTCAGACTCCTTTGAGACTGATAAATCATTCTGCACATGTCCACATACTCCTTAGTTAGCCATGGCATTGTCATAAAATGATTTGGCTCAAGCAATTTGTAGATTCCTAGGTCCCAAGCGGAAGAGAGCAGCTCTAACAAGGTGCTTGTCTTAGGGCCCTGTGAGCCAAACTGGACTTGTCCAACAAAGGACCTTTAAAAAGGGCTGATTTTTCCAAAGTGTTCCTCCAAACTTTTAATTAGCAAAAGATCATATTAACTACTTACATCATGTAAATGTATGGGCACACAGTATAGATTTCACAAATGGAGACTCTTCTATCACCTTTAGTTCTAAACCTATGTGCTTTGGAGGCTGAAATGGGGTTTCACAACCTTTGGAATGATCAATATTATGCTTTGAAAGTTGGCACTTTCCATTTGAAAGCCAAGCAAGGTGGGAAATAGACCCTTACAGTGCTGGACCTATTGATTTCTATGTTAACCTTTAATCTACACATTTCCTCTTTTAACATGTGGTTTTCTTCTCTTAATTAGAAAGAGCCAGGGATTACCTGCACAAGACTGGCAGGTTTATTGTGATTGGAGGGATTGTCTCTCCTGTGCACGACTCCTATGGAAAACAGGTGGGTCCCTTCCTTCGTCCTCTCCTCCTTCATCAGGGTCTTCTAATGGGTTCATTCCGGTTTGACCCCTGCTGAGAATTTGCCTTTCCACCCCAGCTACACTGACTCAGACTCCACATTGTAACAGGATCCCAAGTGATTGTTAAAGATACAGGCCTATCTATCGTGTTTTATTGTACTGTATGAAATTGTGCTTCAGAGATATTCATTGTGTTTTTATAAATTGAAGGTCTGTGGCATTGAACAAGTCTATTGGTGCTACTTTTCCAACAGTATGTTCTCGTTTTGTGTCTCTGTGTCACATTTTGGTAAATTCTTACAGTATTTCACACTTTTTCACAATGCTACTACACACTTAATAGACTGTAGTATAGTGTAAACGTAACTTTTATAGGCACTGGGAAACCCCAGCCGGCAGGTAACTCGCTGTATTGAGATATTCATTTTATTGTAGTGATCTGGAACAGAATCACAAAATTTCCAAGGATCCCCTGGGGACCTTGTTTAATGTGTAGATTCAGATTCAGTGTATCTGGATGGAAACTCTCAGCAGGGAGTTGAATCGGTACACTCTCTGCCTTCAGCTTCCTTTCTCTAGCCTGATAGCTCCTCTGGCATAACACTGCCCCCCTTCTGTTCCCTGGACCCCAGCCAGACCTGAGCAAATGGGTGTTGGAGCAGCAGCTGGGAGGACCCAGTGCCAACACCTGCCCAGGGAGAAGGCATCTGCGTCCAGCACCAGGCCCCCAGCAGAGCTCATTAAAAGAGGAGCAGGCACATCTGCTGAGTGTGAACTGACCCTGGTGCCAAATGGGATACTGGTTATGGGTTGAGCTGCACCGGCCAATTCTTCACCAGGATTTTAAGACAAAAAAAGTCTCTACTTCTTGTATTTTGATTTAAAGTTCACTTTTCCGCCTTTCCCTCTCTACCACTTGTTCCTAAAAATCTAGACGCTCTACCAGGCATTCCTCCTTCTTCCACACCCCAACTTGATGGCCTCTGGGAGAAGTCACCTAGCCATCCAGATCGAGACATAGGACAAAGTAGCATTTGCTGAGTTATTGCTCATCTCGGTGCTGGGCACACACACATACATAAAACAGCTGCCGTGGAATCCATTCCATTTGGTGACCACTCCATGTGTGTCCATATGGTTTTCTGTGGCTGATTTTTCCGAAGTATGCCTCCAAGCTTTTCTTCCTTGGTGCCTCGAAACTTTTGATTAGCAGAAGCGCTTATTATCCAATGTATGGACACACGGTGTAGATTTCACAAATGGAGACTTCTATTGAGGGTGGCATATTCCACATCCCCTTCATTCCCATCTTTCCCCCTCTGCCACTCTGCACTTGTCTGTGTGGTGGATGGACAAGTACATAGATTGCGCCTCTCATCACAGAAAATCAGCTGCCTTTTTATACTGGGCTGTCTAGGGATGGTGTTTCAGGGACCGCATAGACATCATAGCCTCCTAATTATCTTTCTGTTGCCTCCCAGGGCCTTGTGTCAAGCCGGCATCGTCTCATCATGTGTCAGCTGGCAGTCCAGAATTCCGACTGGATCAGGTAGGGCTGGGCAGGTGATGCCACAGAACACAATGGGGCAGAAGTGGGGGACTCTGGCACTCACTGATGGTGGGCGGGAAGAGTCCCAGCAGCAATCTTGATACTAAAAAGGTAAGGGGTGAGCCCTTCAGGAGTGGCCCAACTGCTAACTTTATTTTTCACCAAGCTATATTGTTCCTTATTCACTGTCCAGCTTTCACATGCATATGAGGTTATTGAAAATACCATGGCTTGGGTCAGGTGCACCTTAGCCCTCAAGAGGGCACCTAACAACAACAACAACAACATATTGTTATTGGTCGGTGGTTCAAACTCACTATCCGCTCCTCAGAATCTCTATACAGGGTCACTCTGAGTCAAAACAGACTTGACGACACTTAACAACAACAACAGCATATTGTTGCTCTTACGTGTTGTTGAAATGGTTCTGACTCATAATTTATAACAGAATAAAACTGCCCAGTCCTGGGCCATCCTCACAATCAATACTATGTTTGAGTCAATTGTTGCAGCCACTGTATCAATTCATTTTATTGGGGGTCTTCTTCTTTATCTCTGACCCTCAACTTTTCCAAGCATGATGTCATTTTTCAGGGACTGGTCCCCCCTGACATATCCAAAGCACATGCAATGTGTTCTCACTCTCCTCTAAGGAGCATTCTGGCTGTACTTCTTCCAACATAGATTTGATCATTCTTCTGGTAGTCCATGGTACTTTCCATATTCTCCAACACTATAATTCAAAGTCATGTAGAGGTGGTGTGCCATCAAGTCAGTTCTGACTCAGTGGCTCTGCGTAGGGTTTATGAGGCAATACATCTTTACAGGAGCTGAAAACCTCATCTTTCTCCTGTGGAGCAGCTGGTAGATTTGAACTGCTGACCTTGTGATTAGCAGCCCAGCTCATAATCCACCATGCTACCAGAGCTCCTTTGGACCCGACAAACAGTCCTGATGGCACGATGGTTAAGCACTCTGCTGTTAAGTTTGGTGGTTGGAACCCACCTAGCAGCTCCTTAGAGAAAAACCTGACCATCTATTCCTTTAAAGATTACAGCCTAGAAAACCCTATGGAACAACTCCACTCTGTCCTTAGGGTCACCATGAGTCAAAATCAGCCCCTAACAAGAGCAACAACATAGGGACCCATATTAAAGAGGGGATTTAAGTGTTTTGTCTGCTTTGGCATCTCTGGATCCTGGAGTAATAGCTTGGTGCTTCCCAAAACACCACTGGGTTTTGAGTGAATCATGGCCAGAAATCTGAACTATTTCTCTATCATCACTCCTTCTAGCTTTCAGGGAACGGTCCCATTCCCAGTTCCTGAATAGCCCCACAATGATCTGAGACAAAGGTTCAGACAGACAGCACAGCCCTTTAGGGCACTCTGCCTTCCCCGCCAGACAGCCCTGCACAGCCCTCTCTTACAAACGCAGACACATCTATCCACTGAGTTTGCGGTGTAATTAAACCAAGCTTCCACTAATTATGCTAATTACGTTCCCCAAAGTTCCTACAGTTATAATTTGCATGAGAAGATGACTTTTTTTTTTTTAAGAGTGCCACGCCATTTGTGCTGTAATTTTTCCCCATGGAAAAATAAGCAGTACCTGGAGGTTTCCATAAAAGGCAGAGGATGATGGGAAGCTGACCTCAGAGTGGGGGAGGCTGGGAAGAGACAGTGTGGGAAGAGATGGGAGCAGTGGAGGGAAGAGGTAATAACAATTGCACAATGATCCTTGACGCTTGTATGCAGGGACTTGTGCCTTTTATAGACTTCCCCATCCTCCCAGATACAGTTTAGACATTTGCCTTTCTCAGTCAGTGAACACAAGAACGGGCAGCACGTCTGTGGCCACGTCAGGATTAGAAATGAGGCCTTTTAGCTTCCTCATGCCTGAGCTCCTGGGGAAAGTTGATCCTGAGGGAAAACAGGAGCCTCATTCACTGCCTGCCCCACACTGCTCAGGGCTCTGGGAAGGAGCAGAATTGAAATCACTGGGGAGTCTGGGAGCTCTAGAGATGCAGACTGCAGGTGGTCTTGAGGCTCCTGCTAAGCCAGGCCAGGGGTCTGCACACCTCCAGGCACATATGTGTGCTTCAACCTGGGGAGGCCAGGCTCAGGGTAAAAGGACTCTCTCTGTGAGGTTTCAGGGGAGTCCTGGTATGGCGCTGTGGTCTAATGTGTCAGACTGCAGTCGTTTGAACTGCAAGGTCATTGGTCCAAGCTCATGAGCTGCTCCTTGGAAACCCTATACAGGGTCGCTATGAGTCGGCATCTACTCGACTGCACTTAACAACAACAACAACAACAATAAGGTGTTTCAGGAGTCCTGGTGGGGTGCTGTGGGTTAATGCGCTGGACTACAAAGTCTGTTTGAACCACAAGGTTCAAGCTAACCAGCTGCTCCTTAGAAACCCTATCCAGGGTCTCTATGGGTCGGAACCAACTCAATGGCGCTTAACAACAATGAAAACAAGGGGCTTCAGTTGTTAGATCTCGTCTCTGAAAATCTTAGGTGTGTCTTCATGGGGAGTGGGCAGGGAATGCTAACTGCTCAGAAATCTCCCAATTTAGCAGCTCATTAGGTTGATAATTATGCCTCAGTGCTGCATCAGTCTGGGGCCAGAATCCCATCCACTTCACAAGGCGCTGTGTGGGAGGGCTTGGCTGGTCTCACCTTCCGTCTGATGGGCACAGCCCACCTCTGGGCCCACAAGGCATCCCCCTGCACAGGGAGACAGTCAGTGGCTGAGTCCCCAGTACTTTCATCTGGGAAGGATAACACAAGCCAACACTTGATGAGGGCCTGGCTCATTTAACCCTTATCACAGGTTTTAAGGTCCAGAAGAAAAGTCTCAGGTTTGCATGTGAGACTAAGACCAAGACAATGTACTAAACATTTTACATATAAAACTCCTTGATCCTTTCTACTAATCCCATAAAATAGTTACTGTTGTTAATCCCATTTTATAGATAGGGAAATGGAGGCATGAGCAATTACATAGCTTTCCCAAACATCATGCAGTTGGAAAGTCCTGGTTATGTGCCATGGAGTCGGTTCCGACTCATAGTGACCCTGTGCAGGGTTTCTGAGGCTGTAAATCTTTATGGGAGCAGAAAGCCTCAGCTGTGAAACAGCTGGTAGTTTCGAACTGCTGACCTTGTGGTGCACAGCCCAATTCCTAACCACTCCTAGGCAGACAGATGCCAGCAAGCCTATGCCCTACTCCTCTCATTTTACAGAGGGAAAAACTGAGGCACAGGAAAGCAGTTCAAGCCTGTGTTTTATCTGAGTCAAGCTGGATGCCCACAGTAGGAGCAGGTAGGAGTATCTGAAGATGGAAACCAAAGGAAACCTCTTTCTGATTCTCTATAGGGTAGACCCCTGGGAGTGCTATCAGGACACCTGGCAGACGACCTGCAGTGTGTTGGAACATCATCGGGACCTCATGAAGGTGAGTAGGACCCTGGCTGAGGGGTGGGACTACGGGGGTGAAGGGAAGGGGGTTGGATCCTCTGCAGAGCCAGAGCACGCCTACAAGGAGGCTGCTTGCCTACTGACCTGGTTTTAGCTTCCTATTTCCCCGCCAGCTGTGAGAGGCCAGCCTATGAACAACACTGAGGACAGAGTGAATTAGGAGCCTAGAGCGGCAGCTGGTGATGCTTCCTGTCTTCCTGCCCTTTGTGGCCTCCCAGTTGGTACATAACTGCTGGATATGGCCTGAGGCAGCTTATTTCTCTGAGCAGTAAGTTCAAGGTGGAATCAAGGATGCCACAGTCTTAGGTTTGCAGGAAGTGAAGAGAGGAAGAGACTGGACAAAGAAAGGCAGGACAAAAGAGGAGCAGTTGGGGGAGGTATGAGCAGCCAGGCTACCCTGCCTACTGTGAGACCTTCATGAGGATTCTGTTAGTGAGGCACTGAAGCCGGCCAGTTATGGCCCATCATCTCTACTCATTCCTCCTACATCAGCCCTGAGACATGTGTGTTGACCTCTGTGTCACTAATGGGCAGAAGGAAGCACAGAGAGGTGAGTCAACTTATCTGAGCAGTGAATGCTTAGTGAACACATTGGGTGAGAACCCCAACTGCCCCTGTGCTTCTGTCGAGAGCCTGGGAGCTGCAGCCTTCTGCAGAGGGCTGCTGCGCGTTAGGTTTGAACAGGCTCCACGCAGTCAGCAGCACTGGTTAGAGTCTGTAGAAAACATCACGGATCAAAACCAACACATCCAATCCACGACGACAAGGTGAAAAGCCTGCCTTCGGTAGCAAGAAGCCTGACAAACCAAGACAAGAAATAACAAATCCTTTTCACCTCCACTGACCCAGACACAGAGCCTTCCTCAAGCCCCAAATAACAATCAAAGAGGCCTTGTTGCGATGCAGGGGGAACCCTGGCCCATCTGAGTTCTTGCTGTTAAAAAACCTGTGAGAATCTTCTCCTGAGTTCCAGCAGCAGTCCCTGACCACCCCCAACCAAGCAGTTCTTCTTTATTCTAATTGACATGGAGATTAGGGCTCACAACTATCCTGGGGCTTAGTGCAGGAGAGGTAGGAAGGACCTGCTCTCAGTTGCTAGCCAGTTGAATTTCTTTTCTGCACGCAACCCCAAAAAGCTGGTTTTCCTAGGATAGTGGTTACGAATTGGGCTGCTAACTTCAAGGTCAGAAGTTCGAAACTACCGGCTGTTATGTGAGCGAAAAATGAGTCATTCTGCTCCTGTAAAGATTTACAGCCTCAGAAACCCTGTACAGGGTCACTATGAGTTGGAACTGACTCCACAGCACATAACCACCACCACCACTTTCAGAACTGTTCACATACAACCAGAGTCTTTTCTGGTCCCTTTTAAAAGGACTCTAGGGACTCCAAGGGTGGCTCAACTGTTAAGTGCTCAGTCATTAACTGAAAGGTTGGCAGAACACACCCAAAGTCACCTTGGAAGAAAGGACTGGTAAAATGCAGCTTAAAAGGCAGCTATTGAAAACCCTGTGGAGTGCTTCTACTCTGCACACGTAGGGTGGCCATAAGTTGGAGTCGACTCTAAGATAGGTGGCACTGACTCCTTCCTCTGTGCTGACCTCAACAACAGCAGAAATAGCAGAAATCCCACCCTATTATATAAAGATGTATATATCAGTCTGCATAAGGAGCTCTGGTAGCATAGTGGTTACGAATCGGGCTGCTAACCTCAAAGCCAGCAGTTTGAAACTACCAGCTGTTCTGCCGGAGAACGATGAGACTTTCTGCTCCCGTCAAGATTTACAGCCTTGGAAACACTGTACAGAGTCGTTATGAGTCAGAACCGACTCCACAACACACTACCACCACCACTACCATCATCAGTCAGGATGTTCTGGTGTGGCACTGTGGGTGACTGACAAGTCAATTGAAGTTGGTGGTTCGAGCTCACCAGTCACTCCTCGGAAACCCTATACACGGTCACTATGGGTTGGAATTGACTCAACAGCAATTAGCAACAATTGATCAGGATAGGCTAAAATATGCTATGGTAACAAGCAACCCTAAAATATCAGTGGCTTTAAGCAAGTTTATTTCTCCTAATACATATCAGCTGAGGAATGTATAGAATGATTCTTCATGATGTCTGTTTCCTTGACCATCTCAGCAGGGGAAAGACACTATGGTGAATCAAGAGCTGGTGTTTAAAGTTTCTGCCTGCAAGTGATTCAGGCCAGTTTTGCTCACATTTGTTGGTGTGAGCAAGTCACATGAGCATACTTCAAGGGGATGGAAAGGTGCAATCCTAGCAGGCATCCAAGAGCTGGCAATATTGGTGAGCAGCCTTCTTGACTGCTGCACAGAATCTCCTTGTGACGTAGGACAGGGTTGCTGTCACTGTTTTGCAGAATGAAGGCACAGACTCAAGAGGTTAAGTGTGTTGTCTAATCTCATTCAGTCGGTTAACTCATGTCTTTCAATTGTCTTGGGCTGGTTAGTTCTGATGGACAGTTTCTGAAAGGCCATGGGAAAGATCTTCACCATGCGCCAACCTCTTCCCCTCATGTAAGAAGAAAGAGTCAGAGACATGTGCATGAGCATGCAAACACACACACACATGCTCACTGTCCCTCTGCCCAAGCTTAGGCCACAAGGCAAGCATAGACCCTCTAAGTTCACTAACCAAACTCTCCTTCCTGGACTCCATAGCTGGGTACTATGCAAATTCTCCCCTCCCTTCTCAACCCCTGCCTCCTCAGCACCCCAATTGTCTTGATGAGATGGGGAGACTGGTTAAGAGAGCATGTCTGTAGACAGAGAAGAGAAAGAGAGGTCATATTAATGCCAGTGTGCACTGTGGTTTGCCTCTAGTTGGGGCTCTAATTTAATATGGTAGAAATAGGAAGTGGCCTATTGAACAGGATGGAGGTGAGAGGCAAAGTGGTCTTAAAAGCTGTCTGTGTGGGGAGGAGAGGAGAGCGTTAGATATGAGGGGAAAGAGGGGCCAAATCTCAGAGGCTCCAGCTCAACCCAGGGAGCTGTGACGCCTGCCATCATGATGGGGAAGGCTCAAGCTCCATTATCGGAAAAGAGGAGCCTTGGGCCCTCTAGACATGCCTGAGCCATGGATGTACCAGACATACAGCCAGGCTGCTAGAAACAGAATGCTTGGCTGCCAACTGAAAGGTTGTCAGTTCAAGTCCACCTACCCAGAGGCATCTCAGAAGAAAAGTCTGGTGATCTACTTCTGTAAAACCAGCCATTGAAAACCCTTTGGAGTATAGTTCTACTGTGACACACATGAGATGGCCGTGAATCGGAGTCAATTTGGTGGCAAGTGGTTGCTGGCAACTGGCTGGCATTTGGACAGCAAGGCAGGAGGCATGCGTCAGGGCCAAAGAAACTTGGCCAAGAAACACAGCTGTTGACGTGACAGGCAGAGGCTGCCACCAGAGAATGTAGGTCACGATGGCCCCCTGCCTTGGAGTGAGGGTTCAGAGCTGACTCCTAATGTCTTCTGGTTTCCCCACTCCTGATGTCAGGCCAGGGCTCCTTGCACAGAAAGCAAGCCTGCCTGAGGAGACAGACACACAGCTCAATAGGTGACTCAGGGCTATGGCAAGAAAGACCTCTAAGCACATGGAGGAATGAAAAGGGGAGAAGCAGACATGAGGCCAGCCGTGTGCCTCTTCTCTTAGATAGACCAGCAGGAAAAAGATGAGGTTTTCTGCTCCCGCAAAGATTTACAGCCTCAGAAACCCTATCCAGGGTTGCTATGAGTTGGAACCGACAGCACACAACACCAACACACAACTCGGACAAAACAAGTCATATGGGACGAATGGTACAGCAAACAGAAGGTAGCTGGGAGGAAGAAACTCATCAGCTACCAAACCAACTTTAAATGGGAACGTGCTGTTTTCATTTCTGGAGGTGAAATGACAATAAAATGGATGCAGGTGGGCAGAGAAGCCAGTGGAGGAGTCTGATGCTGGCCCAGCTGGCTCCCAGATGTGGCTGGATGCTGCTGTGATCACTCCTTCAGGAACATTACTGAAGGGACAGGTGCTCTTGTCAGACTCAGCAGGACTGGAGTGCTCCTCCACCTGTGGTGAGGTGCTCCAGAGGGTCACTCTAGCTCTGTGGTATGGGAGTCCTCTGGCACAGAACTCCACAATCCAGAAAGGGTGGTGAGTGGGGGGTCATCAGTGGGTCTCATCCCTTCAGAGATGCTGGCCTCTGCTTCTCTGACCCAATAGCTGCTCTTCCTTTCACCCAGAACAGGTAGCAGTCAGTTTTGGGTGAGCTATGAAGAATGCTGTGTTGTCACTGGGCGATGGACCTTCCCAGAGAACTTCCTTTGGGCATTCACTCTGGAGGAGGGGGTTCTCCCAGCACCCTGGACCCCAGTCACAAACACACAGTGCTCCTTTATCAAGTCAGCTTTGCACTTGAGCGTTGTAGGAGGTGATGTTTGTATGACCTTGCCAAAACGCATAGAACCCCATCCCAGACACAGTCTCATTCGAGGCCCCTGGAGCAGACAGGGAGGGCAGGGATTCATGATCCGCAGAAGGTTATAGCATCTCTTCCATTTACATTTATTAAGTTCCCACCATGCACCAGTCCTTGGCTAGGCACTTTGAACATGCCTTCCACCCATACCCAGAAAGGCAGGTTCAAGAGAGGTTAAGCCACCGTCCAAGGTCACACAGCCGAAGAGGGGCAGAGCTAGTGTTTAGACCTAGATCTCAGTGACATCACAGCCCACACATTTCCCATTGAGCAACCCCACCTCTTGCTAGTCTGGTGACTACAGGGTGGAGCTATGTCCAGCACCTACCCGGTGCTTTTCCTCAGCTTTAGGTGACCACATCACTTGGAAGTACCTGAGAGACTTTCCAAATGTCACCGACTTTGAACTTCTCCCTTTCCTTAGCGGGTGACTGGCTGCATCCTGTCCAATGTCAACACACCTTCCATGACTCCTGTGATCGGACAGCCCCAGCATGACACCCCACAGCCCATTTACCAGAACAGCAATGTGCCCGCCAAGCCCACTGCAGGTAGGGAGCATCGGGTGGACCTCAGTGTGTATCAGAGCCACCTGGAGGGATGGGTAAAATGCAGATTGTTGGTTCCCATCCCCAGAATTTGATTCCATAGGCCTGGGAGATGGGGTAGAATTTGCATTTATAACAAGTTCCCAGGTGATGCTGTTGCTGATGCTGGTGATGGTCTGGGGACCACACTTTGAGAACCCTTGCTATAGCATTTCAGAAAGGAGTAGTCACAATAAGAGAGGGAGA